ATTGATCTTCAAAGGATTGAAACCAACACCAAACATCATCAACAGTACCTGGTGATTGTGAAAAACTGAATGGGCTAATCCAGACATTCACTATCTAAATTATAACATGACATTCATAATCATTTATTGATTTTCCTTCGTGCGCTGTGGTTCTTCGCTTACAATTTATTTGGATGTCTTAGTCATTCGATCATAACGACAATACCCGTTTATTGACAAGTGATGTCCACTGAATTTTGAAAATTGGTTGACCCTAATGAACTTCCGACTGTTACAATTATTTAAGAGAGGTGCATACACGAAGACGTCTTCCAGCCTCACTTCAACATGGCCGATCTGTCCATAGACACCAACACAGTCTATTGATCACGAGTAGAGTATTAGCCGCATCTCTGGTCGTCTGTTCCCCTAGGCGTTGTATAACATCCATAGAGAGAGGCCATTTCTGGTGCTGAAACTATTGATGTACTCCCGATTTCTGAACCAAATAAAATACCATAAATTTTAAGAGTTTACACAACACATGTGTCTGTAACACTGAATAAATAAACTAAGGAAAACCCAAGGCATCAAATTACATTAAATATTACTTATCATGGTATCATTGGTATTTCTCACGTAACCGTCGTTTGCACAATTTGGAATGCTCGCATTGCCCTCCACTGATTTAAATCATATTGTCTAGTTTATGAAACACTCGTATTCTATGATCATTTATTTGGAAGTATCTGCGGTGATCCTAGCCTACGGGATAACGCCAGCCACGGAGCGACACGTTACAGTTTCTGGAAAACGCAACTACAGGCGTATGGTGTTGACCAATCAGTAGTCGTGCGGTCCAAACAGAAGTTGTATGACGTCAAGAATACAAGCAGGCGATTGGTGGATACTTGGATAACTAACAAATTTCCTTTGTACGTTATTTAATCCCTCGATTTCTTTCAAAAAGAACTACTACTTCTCTGGTCTTCTGCTTGCCTCTCGGTGACGGGAGATACCAGCGTGCAATTGCTCGTTCGATTCAGTGTATCCGTGGCGTGCGTGAAGTGTGATTCGTGATCAGTGCCTACTATGACTACTACAGTATATAATACAGACCTATATAGAAAAGCATATGTGGCGAAGCAATGACCGGTGACTGACTACGGGTTCGAATAACTGGTCATCCTCCATAAAGCTGCGTTTCGCTGCTACTATTTACTCTTTTTAATTACACACCAACGTGTGATGAACAGCAGACGGGGCGAACCCCATAGTCACGAAGACCTGCTGTTCAGTGATGGAGACTGGTAACCTAAGGCCCAGGACTTGGAGTGGCGAATCACGTAGGGCACCATTGCGTTAGGCGTGGTATTCAACCGGACAACAGTAGAGCTGCCTACCACTCAAGTCGGGTGGCGGTGGAGGGGTTCGAACCTTGGACCATAGGGTTCAAAGCACGCCGGTGACAGCGACTAAAGCATTGCGCCATACAGGACTCGAACCTTTCGTGGGAACCATCCGCGCTGAACCACACGCTGGAGGACATTCTAAATTACTATACATAGCCATTTTGCTTAAGGCGGTGATCGTCTACCGTGTGTATCCCTGGAGCAAAGGTCTCCACCCCTTACTGTTACGTTATTCTCCGTGACAAATAGTTTATCCCTTAGCCGTGAATCATGATTGTCATGCCATAAAATAAACAGACGGCATTTCGATGAACAACGCCCTTAGCCAAATTATGACAGTATCAACGAAGGTGATTCGTTTGACTGACAAATCGAAATCCAAGTATCAATATTTATATATGAGGAAAACATTCAATCGCACAAGTTTGTTGTAAGTTGTAAGTTGTTTGTAACTTCGTCTTGTGCTTATGTACTAACATGATTGATTCATCAGGCTAACTGGGAAAGGACACCATTGTTTGACAAGTTCTAGAGGAGCCCATAAAGAGGGTATCAGAGGTTCAGTGTGCTCTATGAAAACTGCTTTGTTCTGAGACAACCAATCGGAATAGCGATAGCCGAACTCAGGTGATTGGTCGGAACAGCCAACCAATCCGGATGATTGACCGCAATCCAATCCTGTTCTCTCTCTTCCCTATAAATAATGATGATTTCTACACAATAAACGAATTCCTAAACGCTTCCAACCGTTTTCTATTTCACTATCTTTGGAGTTCCTATCTGGACGACAAAAGTTATCGGAAGACAGTTGTTTAAAAATCCAGTATCGAGATAATTCTATGCAGTTGCAATTGATGGCCACTTCTGAAAAGTTCCCCTGCCCTTTTTTCGCGCGCGCGTGCCACGCCATTATATCATTGCTATGTGATTGTAGTCATGGCCCTGTTCGTCGCGTTGGATAGGGCGGGAGGGGGGATAACTGATACCCCGAGCGCTCCATTGAGAAAAAATAATAAACAGGCCTTCGTTTCCAAAATCAATTATGATCAGAAATAAACAGCTGTTCTTACAACTCTCCTTCAAAGGAAAGTCAAGTAATGATCGATTGAAAAGGTGATTGAATAACGTAATCTCACGAACGTATCGTGCACAAATCTATCTATCCACTCCTCGTCCATGATGAAGCTTTTCTTCATTTACACATGTTCGGCAATTTAAGTAGAGAATGAACGATGAGACATAAACCGCTCTGGCTACACACGGCGTGCCAGAAGACAATAACTGAGGCTAATGTGTCCTACCTATCTAAATACCGGTCACCAGATCGACATCAATGTGTTCAAAATACAAAGCTCACCAAACTATGTCAAAGTGTGTTCGGCAACATCACTTGGCCAAGACAGAAGCTATTGTAATCAAAGTCATGAACTCACCACAACAGAGATGGAAGAAACTCGTGCCTCAGACAAGTAGCGTTGAAGTAACGTGGTATGACATGCGCTTGAAAATTAGTCATCGGAACTATCCACAAAAGTCCTGGATCCCTCTCCTCTTCCTCCGTGGGTTACTCTATATCATTGGGAGCCGTGTTGTTTTTCCCCATTTCACGTAATTAACCAATCACATCCAATTTCATCTTCCCCATAACACAACTATAAATTGTTCAAATTACTGTTTGACAGATTTGAAGTTTGTATGTCGATTGTGAAAAGTTCAGTAGCCTGTAAATGTCCGAAAGATGAGGCTACGAAAACAGGATTGTTCGTCATGTTAATTGTCTTTGATGCAATTATGAGAAACTTATAGGAATTGTCATATATTAAAAACTACAAATCCACCGGAATCTTACTGTGGTGTCAAAAAACAACAAATCTTTTTATGAGATCACAACAACGCAGCCAAAAAACGGAAACCGGTAATTACAAGAGTTACAAAGCTCAGAATATGCCCATACTGGCATTTAGAACACAGATTCAGACGAACAATTGTTTTCAATAAATGATAATCATGCCGTTACAGAATATATGAGAGGAAAAATCCTAGGGGTTAGGAGGAGAACAATAAAATGTGAGGAATCGTTCACTTCGTGTCTGTGTGTGTACGTGTGTGTGCTTCCGGGGTTTGCAGTTATGTCACGACGGTCGTGTGACCCAGTTCTGAGGGATCGGTGTTGTTGTGTTAAAATGTTTGTGTGTGCGGACAGGGGTGGGGGGGAGGAGTGGGTTCGCGAACCCCAGGGGAACCGGAGAGCTCGGATAAGACTCTTCTGCGCACATAGTTCTGAGGGGGGGTCAAATGCATATTCAATAAGAGGAAGTAAAATTGTAAAATAGAAATTTAAACCGAACAGGGGATGGGAAAGTTGTCACCATTGTTAATGGTCCCTATTCTCTCGCATCCTATTTCAGTTAGGAAATCGGCAAATCGTGTAAATGTGGAAACAAAGAACGAAACAGAGCTTCACGAAACACAAGAAAACCAATGACCAACGTTAACCTTCACCCCACCCTCCCTTACCCCTGTCTGACCCCGTCGAAACACCATCTTCGTATCAGTAATTAACGATCGTGTACATGTGTGTGTGTGTGCGTGTGTGTGTGCATGTGTGTGTGTGAGTCAACCGTATTCTCCTCCCTTCGTGTACATGATTACTAACAAGAAGTACGGTCAATGGGTAGTGGTAACCGAATACCCTTCACTGTGATTTCAGATTGACTTGTCGTGGCCTCCCCAGGTACGTTTGATTGATCACCTTGATTAATCAATGTCGCACCTGTTAAGCATTCTCGCTCTCCACTCCCGGAGGGAAAAGATTGTTGATGCATCAGTGTACCAAACCGATAAATTGGTCTCTCGTCTACCGCGCGAATCGTTTCGTCTCATCTGGGGGGAGGGGGAGGCTGATAAACGCAACAGTGCACTTCTATCATCAGACCATACCGCATATCATACGGAGGACCGTACGTAACTAGCGGTTTACTGGTCGCGGTCCCCTTTGTCAGGCCACCTCTCCAGTCTGGGCGTGTTTGCGAATCGGATACCGAAGCGATGCTCGATTCACACTGACGGACGTCGTTTTTGTGTAAGCGAGCATCAGTGTGTTTGACAAGGTCTGGAACTATCTCGCATCTCGCTTTATATCTGGAGAAAGTGTATTCAATCTAACTCACGTACACACCCGTCGGGACTTGAATCAAATTTAGCATGCCTTTGTGTGTGAGTGTATGTGTGTGTGTGTGTGCATTCGAATGCAAGCTTATCGTTTCGTGATGCGAAGTTTTCAATGTGACAATCATAAAAATTCACATTTGTTTATCCGAACATGGGTTTACTGAAATACCAGGCGTACTGTTTACTGTGAGCATCTCCGTTTCGAATATATACCTGTAAATGTAAGAATCCTGTCTTGTGGAGTGACTATTCACATTTTGGCTGCGGTTCTGTCGCATCTGGTGCCTCAACCGTCCCATTGGAACACTTGGATTGTCTATTTGGCCTCATCTAAACCGGTATGGCTTTGTTCACGGGAACTTGGGCACTTGAAGCGAGTGAGAATTGTGAGAAATTGTTGGAAGTTTTGGGTAAGTAGTCTCCTTTTTGGGGCCAAAAATGTATTTGCGATTATTACCATTATTGTGTGAAGGCATACCTGAGGTGGCACGGAAACTTTCGGCCTCAAGTCACAATCAGGTCACAATTATGCAACCTCAGCCGGACCGAATGTGTATGACTCACGTGACCAGTTTGGGAGTTGTGGAAATGAGTTTCAAATTTGATGAGGAATTCGAATATCGCGGCCCGGATGGGGAGAAACTGAAGGTGAGTCAATATACACCTGGGTCACAAAATGCGGATTACGAGGCTTAGATTTTAATGTCCCTGTGAGATTTTTCCGATTACGAAAGCTTGCTTATCGCAAAAGCTTGTAGATCTTTTGTAGTTCAGCTTTTTTCCGGATAGTAGATAAAAACAGATATTACGTTATTCTAAATTGCATTTGATACACAAAGACAACGAAAAACTTTGAGGCAAAACAGTTTTATGACACCGATTTTGTGAAAGGATAGGCGGTAGCATTCGAAATGGTGAAAACCAAAAGGGATATTACAAATCAGACAAAATTTATAGCGTAAATACACTAGACGTATTTAACAGGTAGTGCATAAAAGGATCATCGAATTGAGCAATGGGATCACTGATCTATCTGCAGAACGTGATTCATTCCCAACCCAATGAATCGTACAATACCAAAAATCTCTCTTTCTATTGCACTTTCTATGCTGCTCATCACGATGCGTTCGATCGGTTAAAACCAAGTAGTACAGTTACCACGCCGTTTTTCGAACACATAGCACAACAAATGCTCACCAGTTGTCCTAAAGAGTTACGATACCGAATTTGAAGGAAATCACAAACCTTTGGTTTGGGTTATTTAGAAACACATCGATCGATTGATTCAACAATGCTGCATGCATTCAATCCTGTCCAATCGAAATTCGCGATCAGTTTCATCTTCTTCCCCCATCACATGTTCAAACAACAAAAACTACCCGGCCAATCATGAGCAGCGATGACCGAACAGCAAGTTCGTACAGAGAAAAAAACACATTCACGGGGTGTTTCGTAATGTGCATCTGTCAATTATCTCAGCATGGTGAACGAGTGAGAATTATTCAATTCACATTCTACTTCCAAACTGACCTATTCATTTCTCACGTTCCGAGTGGCGACAATTACGAAAACTAACTCCCCGTTTTGATTGTTGATACCTGATCGATTATTTACCGTTTTTAATGGGATACAGGAATGTGATTATGGTGTGTGGAATAAGGCATTTGGATGTCAGTGGCAAAAGCCTGCCGCTTGCTATTATAGGCTCGGTCGGACCCCAGTAGTTTTTATTTAGCCGCTATCAGTGTAGTACTGACATGAGAAGTTTTATAAGTTATATATATATAGTTATAGTTGTATATAGTTATATATATAAGTATATAGTGATGTAAGTTTTATGGTTTACGGACTACGTCCCACCGTTATTCCATTTGATACTCAACTTTATATAAGTGCTTATGCCCTTGAGAATAGAAGATTAGAATGCTTGGTGTCGCTTCCATTCGGTGAGGCTAATGCAGAAAAGCAGATGTTCCAGCTTACTCACCAAAATTCCCAAGATATTGATGATTACTCTTGTTTATTACCTTAGCGCCAACCAAGTTACAGTGGTCATCCAGCCCATGAGAACGAGGATACACTCGTGGTGGCTTTAACGAGTGAAGCTTTGCAGAGTCGTGGACGGTAAACCTGTTCTCGCATGACTAGAGCCCTATTTACTTTTGTGCTTCTATGTCTCCAGCGCACAGACACACCACAAAAAATGAATACCTGTTGTGGTTGCAGCGCTCGTCCTGCGATGTCTGTTTCCAGTCATCAATCGGTTTACATCTTCGTGATGTGGTTCTCTCTCTTTTCATTCCAAATTCAGGCTACTGTTCGGCTTTGAAGTAGTTAGAAAAGTACACAGATTATTCAACATGGGTCAACGGAACACAACCACGCATTCCTGAGTTTACAGTTTTTTACTTTTACTTTCCTGCTAATCGATCTAGGTTGCATACTTAAATACACAATAGAGCTTTGAAGTCACGCGATGTTTATTATTTTGCGTCAGTCTTAGTTAATGAACTCGTGCTTAATTCGAGGTAGAAAAGCCAATGTCGCCTAAATCTCATGAGAAGACCTAGTTTTATTGCTTCAATTCACTAATCTCATCCTCCTCCTCGGTAGCTTCCGTTCGAAAAGAATCTCAGAGTTAAAGATGACCGGCTTTGATTGGAATCGCTATGTCTCTCTTTGGTATCAGGCATGAAATATTACGCTACAAGGGTGTACCTGAGCACATGCCCCATGCTCATCCGGATAAATGCAAGTAACAGAATAAACCAGAACTAACGTCATCAGAAGAAAAATTATCTTCCCTGATCTATTTATTTTGGGTTTATCAGGATAAACAGAAAAGTGGACAAGTACACTAATGTGGTCTCAATATCGGAGTTGGGTATTCTTCATACCCAACTGTTGAGGAAAACGATGTGAATTGTTCATAGATGTATCTACAATCGACCACGGGGCATGGCAATTTAAGGGGTCAAAGATAACTTTCACTGCCCCGTATGACTACTTAATTACACTTTAACAGTGCGAGTCTTATGCACACACACACACAGTGCATACGCAGTTTATGTTGTCTTTAAACTATGACAAATGACACCCTACGCATATGAGAATAGTGTAGGATTTGATTGGATCATCCACTGAATTGCGTTGTGCATAGAGCAAATCAAACGCGAACTGTAAAGCTAAGAAGCATTGATTAGTTGTTTCGACCTGGTTGGGTCTCAACCGTGCAGTAATCGGATTCATCGCTCCCCACATGAAGATCGCACCTGGGACCTCACATGTGGAATGCAAGTATACTACTAAATTGACCAAAAGAGATACTGAGAGATACTGATTATTATTTTCGGTGTCAAACTTGATGGGTTGATTGCTGCTTGAGATCATCTGAACGACATCCCCAGCGGAATCTTCAGAAACCTAGAGTGGTTGTTAATCTATTCATGTGAATAATTACAAGCGAACTGGCTCGATATTTGGCATTCATTCGGTGAAGGAAAACCGATATCTCAAGTTGAGGAAATTAGCTTGTCTTAGCCACAACGAATGAAAACCAAAACCAAAGGCGTTGGTGACAGCGTTTCGACCCTCTTGGAAGGCCTTTTTCAAGTTGTTTAATCGGTTAATCTCACAAGCAATTATAAGGCGATGGGATGATGACATCGCATAGAACTCGGATGTGATTCGAGCATGCGTGTATGTGTATGTGCATGTGTGTGTATGTATGTATGTGTGTGTGTTGGTGATCGTTCAACAGGTGGTTGGGGCGAGTGAAATTGGTTTGACCTTTAGGTCACAACGTGTGAAATTAGTCACTTGGCCTGTGGGGTGGGGGCGAGACTATTTTGTATGCACAAGTGTTAATTGTTGCCATAACTGTGGAATGACTGCCCCATCGGATCGATTGATTGCCCTAGGTTCAGAGTTGATCAGGAGCGCTTCGGCTACCAAACGTTCCTTGTGACTTCTGAAACCACGTTTCAAAATGCTCGGGTTTTTGAAATCAACTGCATGTCCTTCGCACATTGCGTGGCCAGCGATGGCGGAATTGTGTTCCACTCGATTCCAACCTGCTGCATCATTTGGAATCTTTTTCGTTAGACGCATGTGTTCAGTCATTCGTTTGTCTAGGCTTCTGAACGTTTGGCCGACATACGTAACAGGACAATCTGGACAATGTTTTCTATAGACTAGCTAATTTCCTCAATAATCATGAGCACGACGCCCAAGTTTTTCAGTGAGATCCGTTCCAACAATGGATCTCGTGTTATTAACGGTATCTCAGGTGTTTGGAGGAACAACACGGGAGATTCACCATATAATGCGTTCATACACTAGGGATGAGGTTTTTTACTAATTGTTTCGATGTATGTGGCAAAGTTGAAACTCGTCAAACTTGGCGACCAGTATTTATTTTCATTCTAGTGAAGTGAGAAATATTTCATTCTTTTCATTATTTTAAGGAAATTTTCATTGTTTTAATAATGATGTGAAAAATCAATAAAATCAATGAGAATATTTTTAAAGTTGCATGCCAGTAAATTTGTGTCATTACTCGTCATTTTGCAACAGGTTTCCGAATTAACAAACTGGTATAAATCGGTGATTAAATTCCGGAACATCATTTCTTGCATTCCACGTTCTTTCTCCCTCTCTCCCTTGATCTCCGCCCCGTCTCTCCGCGTGGAACAACCACAATGTTTTCAGTCTGTAATGACCTTGGTAGCTGAAAATAAACTGGTGGAAGCACAGACCCGTGGAGACGTGACTCTGGAGGTGGNGTGCGTGAAGTTCAAGGGGATATGATGATTTGTGTAAGTTGATTGGCCGCAACGAATATATCTGTCTCGCTCACCGCTCTCCACAGACAATTAGGGTTTCATTAGGTTGTGTTCAGGAACAGACCTAGCCGATTCAATGGATCAACCGCCCCCACTACACACACACACACCTTTCCTCAAGCCCCCATTCCGCCAAAGAAGGAGGCAGGTGGCAGCTGAAGAATGAATGATTGTGAGAATCCAATCACTACTGAGTGTTGTTGTGTATATTCCGTTGACAAGAAGCCGGATACAGATCGAGAGACGGAGAGAGATAGAGATTGGCCAGTTTTGAACATTATCTCTTCATACTGCAAAAAGTACAGTGGCGGGCAACAAATTCCTTAAGGTTTTTGGAGAAGGAGATACACTCAAATGTAATGCCTCTCGTTTATCTCGCCGTGCTAATCCCGGGGATGCGATTCGACGGGAATTCGGCTGAAAAAACAGTTATCACAACTCATACATTTTACGTACAGCAGCTAGTTATTGGATAAAACATGTGGAACTTGTGGAAATCCGATTGGCTTTCTGCAGGATAAATCAGGAGAATACGTGAGGTAAGAGAAAAGGTTTTTAAATTCGAATAAACTGTACTGTGAGTAAGGTGAAATGCTGAAAATACCTGCTGACAAATCAGTGTGACAGAGAATTGACACATTTTGAAAGCAAATCAGAGATGTTTATGCGGGCAATATAAAATTCGTTACCTTCTGGTGCTGCTTCCAGGACCCCAATCATGTTTCCTTCACCAAAGCTAGTTTCATTCATGCAACTTACAGAGGCACATGGCATCCACCAAGTAGCATGTAAGCTGACCCGATTCTACCGAATGCTCTTCTAAAACAAGGTCAATTGTTCAAATCATTGTTT